GTGTTTTTGTATTTTTCATTGGCTGAGAGGAGCACGCTGTGAGTTGATTGGTGAATCAACCGATGACGTTACCTAATGGGTGGGGTCAACTGATCCAATAAGAGCAAGCAGACACTGAAGCTTCACCACAACTTGTTACGGGCTTTCGGTTATCTGTCTGTAACCCATCCGTTTGTAACACTGCCATTGTAATATCATTGAGGTACTATTATATCACTCTTATATAAGTGTGTGTGTGTGTGTGTGTGTTTCTATTTCAGTTTTAGTTATTTTAGTACAGTAAGGTAAACAAAAGGCCATTTCTAGTAATGAAAATGTTTTTTAATGGCTTGAATTATGTATTTATAAATTTATAACAAAATATTTCTAATTTATAACTTGAGTATCACTTTTCTAAATGTATTTAATGCAGTTTAACTGTTATTTAATAATAAACAGTGTTGGGGAAAGTTACTTTTAAAAGTAATGCATTACAATATTGCGTTACTCCATAAAAAGTAACTAATTTCGTTACTTAGTTACTTTTTATGGAAAGTAATGCATTACGTTACTTTTGCGTTACTTTTTAAATCTGGATCTTTTAAATCTTTTTAAAACAGGGCTTGCTTGTTTGTTTTTAAAATAAAAAATGTTCTATTTTTTGTAAATATACAAGCCTTTTCACACCAAAAGTGAAATGAATCAGCCTCAGGCTGAAGGGAAAGTACATTTACGTCCGTACAGTAGAATGCAGAAGAAGATTTCAACACACTTCAGCAATAAAAAAGACACACGAATGTTCGTCTAGAGTAATTTGTGCTCATTAGTACAGTTGAACTGAATCATCGAAGGTCAGAAGCAAAGACATTGGTTAATAGAATGGGATTAAATACATAAAGCATATTTGTGTTGTTTAACATTTAATTATTGCAGGTTTGCGTCATATTCTGAGTTGCATTATTTTTATTCATTTTGAGGAATACTGAATCTGTGTTTTTGGGTTTTTTTGTGAGTGAGATGAATTAATGCATATTCATATTTATTTTAGAACTACAGTAACATCTTCTGATTTCTGTCACCATGGCAACACCAGAGCTGTCAGTCAGTAAATTGGGGAAAAAAAGTAACTTGCGTTACTTGTTTGAAAAAGTAACTCAGATATTCTCTTGTAAATTAAAAAGTAATGTTACTTTACTAGTTACTTGAAAAAAGTAATCTGATTACATAACTTGCGTTACTTGTAATGCGTTACCCCCAACACTGATAATAATAATCTTAAGAATCATATAAATAAATAAATAAACAGACAGTTAAATAGTTAAATAGACAGCGTGAGCACATCTTCAGTGTTATGCATGAATTCATGCAACACTAGGTACTCTAGGTGTTAATGTAAACCATTTATTTCCATAAAATGTCATTATATTTTTAAAACAGAAAATAAACATAAAACTGAAATAACAGCTGACATGAATCATTAGAAAAAGAATGCATGCATTTCTAATATAAAATAGTGTATAAAATTAATGAAACCCTGTTTAACAACACTTTTTTATGACAAACATGTTTTAGATGACAATTTAATAAAGAGACAAGGGAAAATATGACTAAGAAGCATGCACAAACTGATAGATCGGTTCTGACAGAAAGTGAGAGATTTTCCAAAAATCCATCACTTTCCAAACATAACACTTTCAGCTGGCCCTTCAAGTACTTACAAAAGTGTTTCTTTAAATGGCCACATTGACTGAATATAAATTAATGTAAAAATATCAACAATGAGTTGTTAAATAATATTGAGTTTGAACTGTTTAGCCCACTGCTATTAGAGATCTAATTAGCAACAATAGCCAAACAGTCTTTGTTCTTTGGTATGGTGTAAACACTGGGACAGCCACAAGCGAAATACAAAATATTTCCACATGTTGGTCTAGGCATCGTGATGAGTTCACGACGTCACTCCTCCCGGCCGCTCTGCACCATGGAATATTTCTTACAGGGGTTCTTCAGACAGGCAGGCGGACATGTGATCGGCCAGCAGAAAGAACAGGGCACTTGGGTCTGAACGTTCCTCTCGAAGAGGTTAAACACGGGGTTCCACCAGGTGTGAGTGAGGTAGTTGTTCGGAGAACACTTCAAAGTCTGGTGAAAACAGGATAATATCAATTAATATCATACTACAAATGAATTCAAATAAAAACATTGTTATGCATGGCCAGATGACTGACTACTTCTGGTTTTCTGAAAACAGAAGTGGCGATGCACAGGATATAAATGCACTATAGTTGCATGACAAAAAGCAGTTCTGGGAAATTTGGTTAGTTGCATTGTGATGACATTTTAGATCCAAAGCAATTTAGCAATTCCATGAAAATCAAGCCCTGGAGCCACTTCAGGACACAGACACGATTGAGGTTGAGATCTCTCCTGTCAGGGATCGAACCTGTTGACATTTGCATCACCAGTCCAAAGTCTCAACCTCTCACTGCATTTCAGTTTTTTTATTATTATTATTTTGTGGATGCTTTTTAACCACCATATATATCCTTTCTGATATACAGTATGACAGTTCTGATATCATTGGCTACTTTGCTTGTAACAGTATAAAGAAACATGATGTGTTTTGATAGTTTGAATGTTTTTTTTCTTCCTAGATTGGCTTCAAACGAATGTGCAGCACTTTACCATCATCAGGGAGTCATTTCTCAAAAGCTCGGCCTAATGGATTTGGATATTCTCAGTGTACTCTGAGTCATGTAAACACTCGGTAAAAGGCTTAGTGCCGTTTTGGTGCCTTGAGTTTAATGACACCCTGAATCTAAATTGCAAATTGAGCTGAGAGCTTGCCTTGGTTTCAGATGTGTGTATTTGTAGCTGTCTACATGAGGCTGCATGTCAAAAAAGATCAACAATATGCAAAATGAAAATATATCAAAATATGTAAACAAGAACGTATTTCAACATACAAACAACACATTTAGACCCCATGAAGTGTCGTTTTAGTGACTTTTAGCTTATGTTTCACAGCTTTGAGGTAATCTAGACTATCATTCCAAAGTTTGGGGTCAGTAAGATTTTTTTTCTTAAGAAATGTATGATTTTATTTAGCAATGATGCATTAATAAAAAAAAAATGCAATGAAGACATTTATAATGTTACAAAAGTTTTCTATTTCAAATAAATGCTTTTGAACTCTCTATTCATCAAAGAATCCTGAAAAAAGTATCACAGATTTCACAAAAGTATTAAGCAACTGTTTTCAAAATCGATCATGATAATAAACGTATCTCAAACAGCAAATCAGCATATATTTCTAAATGATCATGTGATGCTGAAGACTGGAGTAATGATGCTGAAAATCCAGCTTTACATCACAGGAATGTCTGTGAGGGTCAGAAAGCTCTCGGATTTCATCAAAAATATCATAATTTGTGTTTCGAAGATGAACAAAGGTCTTATGGGTTTGGAACGACATGAGGGTGAGTAATTAATGACAGAATTTTTGGGTGAACTATCCCTTTAATAAAAGCCTTATTTGTGCATTTCTATTATTTCATGTTACTGATATATGTACCTGCAGATTAGCCATAGTGTGATACCAGTAGAACAGTCGGGTGGTGATGAAATACGCCACCACCACGTCCACACTGTAGTGCTCATGGATGCAATGAAGACATTTATAATGTTACAAAAGTTTTCTATTTCAAATAAATGCTTTTGAACTCTCTATTCATCAAAGAATCCTGAAAAAAGTATCACAGATTTCACAAAAGTATTAAGCAACTGTTTTCAAAATCGATCATGATAATAAACGTATCTCAAACAGCAAATCAGCATATATTTCTAAATGATCATGTGATGCTGAAGACTGGAGTAATGATGCTGAAAATCCAGCTTTACATCACAGGAATGTCTGTGAGGGTCAGAAAGCTCTCGGATTTCATCAAAAATATCATAATTTGTGTTTCGAAGATGAACAAAGGTCTTATGGGTTTGGAACGACATGAGGGTGAGTAATTAATGACAGAATTTTTGGGTGAACTATCCCTTTAATAAAAGCCTTATTTGTGCATTTCTATTATTTCATGTTACTGATATA